GTGCATAAACTGTCTTCGACGAGGCCACACGGTAGCGAAGTGTAAGGCAAAGAAATGTAGCGTGTGCCAACGTTCTCATCACACACTGCTACATATTTATACTGCTAGCACAAATCTTGCGTTAGCACCACCCTCTCAGCCACCACATCTTCAAGATAGCTCTTCCACATCGCATGCCATGCATGCGACTGCTTCGGATAGAGTGGTTCTTGCAACAGCAGTCGTGAGCGTTAAAAAGAAAAGTGGCGATTTCGTTTTAGCAAGAGCATTGTTAGATTCTGGGTCACAAGTCAACTTTGTGACTGAGGATCTAGCTCAAAAGCTACAGCTCAGACGAGAGGATACGTGTATGGTCTTGCGCGGCATTGGAGACACCAATGCGCGTGCCAAGAAAAGAATTCATACAGTGGTGAAGTCGCGTGTCAATTGTAGCGAGTTTTCCGCAGATTTTTGGATCTTGGGATCGATTTCTGGTTATCATCCCGATCAAGCGGTGAACACCAGCGGATGGAGGGTCCCCAAAAATATTCAATTGGCCGATCCTCAATTCCATAAACCGCAAAAAATTGATATGCTAATTGGAGTAGAGTCATTCTTCGAGTTATTGTCGGTAGGCCAAATAAAGCAAGGCCCTGAGTCTCCCACATTACCACATAGTGTCAGGCAGATGCTCTACTCAATCTACAACGAGTATAGAAGGAGCAGTGAATTTAAGTTGCCAAGAAGAACAATTACATTCGATAGACTCAACGATACAAAAGTTTTGGTCCATTGTGGACTTGCCTAATAATTCGAAAGTTCTCTCACCTGAGCAACAGCTTTGTGAACAACACTTTCTTGATAATACAAAAATCTTGTCGTCTGGTCGATTTCAGGTACGGTTACCTTTTAAATCTGACCCAAAAAATCTTGGCTCGTCGTATGAAATTGCGAAACGTCGTTTTTTGTCGCTTGAAAGGAGGTTGTCAAAAGACCCTCAAATGAAAAGCATGTATCTGGAATTTGTGGACGAGTATGTTTCGCTCGGTCACATGTCCTCAACGGACAACAAAATTCCAGATACTCCACACTATTTTATTCCGCATCAGTGTGTCCTGCGGCCTCAAAGCACATCGACCAAGTTGCGTGTCGTTTTCGATGACTCTTGCCGCACGTCCACTCAGATTGCGTTGAATGATACCTTAATGGTCGGTCCAACAATTCAGGAGGAGCTTTATTCTACGCTGCTTCGTTTTCGTTTGCGAAAGTTCGCCTTAGCGGCAGACATTAAAAAAATGTACCGTCAGGTGATGGTGCACGAAGCAAATAGAAACTATCAGCTCATAGTGTTGCGAAGAGATCCGTCTGAGTCTTTGAAAATCTTCAGGTTAAACACTGTAACATATGGCATGTCGCCAGCTCCGTTCTTGGCGGTGCGGTGTTTAACAAGGCTGAGTGAAATGGTCCGTTCCTCACATCCAACAGCTGCTGAAGTTATTCGGAGCGACTTTTATGTCGACGATATGTTAACTGGTGCTGAAAGCGTTGAACAGCTAAAAAAGCTTCGAGCAGAAGTGTCGCACGTTCTTCAAAGTGCAGGCTTCGAATTGGCAAAGTGGTTTTCGAACTGCTCGGAACTGTCCGCATTTGATAGCACAGTTATTCCAGTAGCCACAGTCGACTCAGACCCAACCAAAACGCTCGGCGTTATGTGGTTGCCGAAGGAAGATGTATTTCAGTTCCAGTTGGAAAATTCCTTCCTAGATCTCCGCTCGACAAAACGGAACATATTATCGGTGATTGCCAGGCTTTTCGATCCTCTGGGCCTTCTTTGCCCGCTGATCACCAAAGCAAAAATGTTGCTGCAAGATTTGTGGCTACAAAAACTACATTGGGACGAATCCATCCCTGAGAATCTTCATACAGTTTGGGACTCATTTAAGCAGAATTTGTTGAACCTCAGCGGTATTCAAGTCCCTAGATTCGTCCATACAGATACGCAGTCACCCATTCAAATACATGCGTTCGCCGATGCCTCAATGCGAGCTTATGGTGCCTGTATTTATGTTCGTGTTTCGACTACGAATGTTTGGAAAGTGTCACTTTTGACCTCAAAATCCAAAGTAGCTCCACTCAAGACGAAAACTTTGCCTCGTCTTGAGCTGTGTGCAGCTCACCTTCTCGCAGATCTTTTTCGTCAAGTCCGCCCGTTGCTTAATTTTCCAATAGACAAGATAGTTATGTGGACTGACTCGGAAATAACGCTCCACTGGATCAAGTCACATCCGTCGGCATGGTCAGTTTTCGTTTCAAAAAGGGTTTCTCAAATCCAAGAGTGGTCCGAGAATGCAACGTGGCGACATGTCCCAACTAAATCCAACCCAGCAGACATCGTGTCCAGAGGATGTAATGTAGACGAGTTGCGTAGCTCCATTTGGTTTACAGGAAGGCTGGCCCTTCCTCATGGAATCGGAAGAAAATTGGGCTGTGAATGCTCACTTCGAGCCGCCTAAAAATTCAGCTGCCCTAGAAATTCGTAAGTCTGCTGTAGTTTTACTCGCAGATCGGCAAGCCAATTATATTCTCGAAGTTATCGAAAGCTACTCGTTTGGGTTTTTCGATTTATACAAAGGTGCAGAAAGGTCTCGAAGCCCTTTGATCCTATAGCCAAGCCAAGCGAACTCAATTTGGTATTCAACAAAATTGTTCAAGTCATCCAGAACAATGAGTTCGGTGACGAAATCGACAAGGTTCGAAAAAAGAGAACACTTAACGCTAACTTACAGCGTCTGAGTCCATTTCTACATGAGTTTAGAGAAGACGGTTTCTTGTTTTCCTTGCTGAGAGTGGGGGGAAGATTATTAAATGCTCCTATCCCGTACGAAGCCAAGTTTCCGTTGTTGCTTTCTAAAAAGTCGCAATTTATAAGATCGTACGTATCTTATTTGCATGTGTCAAATTGCCATGCTGGCCCTAGATCGCTGGTGAGCCTGCTTCGTGAGCGAGTTTGGCTGGTTAACGCTTAGGAAGTGTGTCGCCGAACAGTACGTTCGTGCATCCTCTGCTTCAAATGGAAGCCTCGGTTGGCCTCCCAAGTAATGGGAAATCTTCCGGCAGACAGGCTCCAGCCGTTCCACCCGTTCGAAGTATGTGGTGTTGATTTTTATGGCCCTATAAGCACAACGCTCCGCATCCGTGGCAAGCCACCGTACAAGTCGTACGTGGCTCTTTTCGTTTGTTTTGCCTCGAAAGCGGTTCACTTAGAGCTTGTGTCAGATCTAACCACTGATGCTTTTCTCTTGGCTTTTGAAAGGTTCGTCGGCAGGAGAGGCGTCCCTCGCAAAGTTTACTGCGACAACGCAACGAACTTCGTGGGAGCCGACAGGAAGCTGCAGGAGTTCCGAGCGAGATGGGAGAAGGAGGCGGAAGGCGTACGCGAATTCGCATCAAGAAAAGGATGCGAGTTTGCGTACATACCACCCAGAGCGCCTCACTTCGGCGGTCTATGGGAGGCAGGTGTCAAGTCTGCAAAGCACCTGTTCCTACGGACGGTGGGCAATGCGCTCCTGACCGCAGAAGAGCTCGGAACACTCATGGCGAGCGTCGAGGCGGTGCTGAACTCTCGGCCACTGGGACCACTCAGCGCGGACCCCAGCGACGGCGAGGCGCTAACCCCGGGCCACTTTCTAATCGGGCGGCCTCTTCTGGCGACTCCAGCTCCACCGCTCCCGGACATCGACAGCCAAACCTGCTTAAGGCGATGGCGCAATGCCTCGTGTCTCAAGCACAGGTTTTGGCAGCTATGGTCCCGGGAGTACATTTCGAGCCTCCAGGTGCGAGCGAAGTGGTTCCAGGAGGAACCCAACGTCGTCGTGGGACAACTCGTCGTGGTGGCCGAAGACAACGTGCCGCCACAAAAGTGGGTACTTGGCAGTGTCACCACAACTCACGCCGGGACAGACGGGAAGGTGCGGGTGGCCGACGTCGCCACGAGTAGCGGCAATCTCCGAAGGGCGATTCACCGGCTGTCGCCATTGCCCGTTGAAGGACGATGTCCCTCCAAGGGGGCCGGTGTTGGCGCAGATGCTGTTTTAGATTAGGATAGTTTAAGAGAAATATTTGAATTTTAGTTTAGGGCGAAAAGAGAGCGCGAGAGCGGCCGTTTGCGGACGTCGCCTCACGCCCTTTTTTCGCCGCCTTAGGCTTAGTTTAGCATGTAAGCCGAATTTTAAAGTTAGTTGTAAAATAGAACTAAATAGAAGCACAATTGCCACCGAATCGTTCGTAAAACGAATTATTCCTGATTTGTCCCACTCAATGACTTCTTCATGTTTTCGTATATCAACGCAGTCAACGATTTACGAGCGCCGAAGAAGCATTTGAAGCGTTCAAAAACTATGTTAAGAGAAATGGAAAAACCGCTATGACAAATGGTTTGAACGAATGAAATTATGCATTGATGGTCATGGTGAATATTTGAAAAACACAAGCCTTTTCATTTAAAAATATTTGTTAAAATTTGCTATTCGCGAAATGTATATTATAACCGAAATATATATTATAACTTTAAACTTTATTTGCAAGACATAGAAAAATTTTGGAAGTAGAAACTTTAATTCTCTCTGTCAGCTTAGCTAAAATTGCAATTCCACTCCACATACCCTTAACAATTGCATTCTGGTGCCGTGGCGCACTGTATCACTCACTTCAACCAGCTTAAGCCGCTGTTGATGAGGCTGAGAATAGAGAACCTACGATACATCGGTGGGATCAAGAGAAGCCTGTTAGTCAGGGTTTACAGTTGCCGCCTTTATGATTCTCTGCGTGGCTTTAAAAGGGCACCAGAGGCGCAAAAGGAATCGTCATCGTTAAGACCTACAAGTCCTCATCGATAATCTGAGAAGGAGTATTTGTTTTATATTGTTTGCTTAATTATCTGTAATATACCTTTATTTAAAAAATATTTAATTTTTAAAATTGAAATTAGAGAAATAACATTTTTCTTAAATTGTTTATTTTTTAGATTTTGTGAATTTAGATGGGTGGTTATAACCCAGCACAGTATTAAGAACTATTGTTTTATTTCTGAAGCCGAATATTAATGAATTAAAACTGCAACATGCCATTTATTTGAGTTGATCATTAAAAGCTGCTTCCAATTGACCAATAAAGTCGATGTCATTATTACATATCCTTTGCTCCGTGAATATTGATCCAGATTCATCTCTATCAGCAAATTTACTTCTGACCATGCATTTCGACTGATGATCAGGATTTATAATCTGGTCTAGTTCTTTCAGACTTGTGTTCTTACGAGGCGATAAAATATCTTTTGAAATATGTTGAATATCACTCACTTCAGAAGTTTGCTTGATATTATTACTATTTTCATTGTGATTGTCTAAGTGTTCTATTTGTCCTCTCGTATTTGTTTCGATATAATTTGTATATTCTATGATTTCAATATTTTTACCAGTATTCCCAGGATTGATTTTGACTTCAGATATGGTTGAATTGTTAATGTTTGAATTTAAGTCATTATATATTTCAAAATCTTTGTGACCTTTTGGGAAAGTGAAGCAATCTTTATCAGGATGCAATCTTTTATCCAGTGTTTGGGTAATACTTTGACAAATATTTCTAATATGAATATTTTTGTCGTTTACCCATGCTGTTGCAAAAACATGTAAAGCCACTTCATTTGTTGGAGTACAGTGTTGGTTAAAATGCATCATTAATACATATACCATGTTGTATATTTCCAGCCGACAACGCCAGTTGTTATAAAGATGATCGTCTTTCAGTCCATACATTTGAACGCAAATCGTTAATATTTTACTGTGAACATTCTGTAACAAAAAATGCGTTTTTAATAAGGCAATAAAAATTGTTAGGTAAAATCTTACCTTTATAATTGAATGATTTATTGTATGCCTCGCCGCAACAAAAAAATTTTGCAGGCATCGTAGAGCTTGTTCACATAAAATACTGTTATTTTGAGTACATTTATTTTGATTTTTATTTCCCCCTTTTGTTGAAGCCTTTGGTGTCGAATTATAAAAGCTATTAAATATAGACGTGTAAAACAATTCGCAAATACTACTTACAGATAAAGAAATATGAATTTCACGAGGAACAATATCATCGTATATCTCTTGTAATAGATGCTCAGAGAGGATATCACAATGGCTGCCATCTTGTAAAATAGAACACCATAACGATATCACTATGTAAGTTTTAGAACGTAAAGCCCTAGAATAGAAGCATATAAAAATACATACATATATAAGCACACGACTGTTTGACATCATGACATTAAATTATAAGTAATTTTCTATATATTTTTACAGAAATGTTTACATAGTATTTAATATTTAATTTAAAGAAGCTTAGCTTAAATGCGTTTAATATAACTCTTTACTCGTTACACCTGAAGGGTATGCTATGTACGGGGCCTGCTCGATTGTACCATTTTCTCCCGTCAAATCTGGCTGTTTTGTAAGGCCTGTTGCGGGAAAAAATTTAGAATTGCGGAAAGCGGGAATTCTGGATTTTTAGAAATGTGTTTGGCTTTTTTCCCGTTTTTTTAATTTTGTCCCAGTCACATAAAACCCAGGGTTCGTAAAATGTGCTCGCAACCCGCTGCAACCCTTAAGAAATGCTGCCGCGGGTTTTTTCGGGTCGCTGCCGACAGAGGCCGCGGGTCCGATCGGGTCGTACATATGTGTTAAATTTGTATGATGGTATGCTTGTGTGTATATATTTCAAGGCAAAATGTGCGCGATGCATTTCATCCCTTATAGCCTCAGCACGAACGAGCGCTCTGCTACTGCAGACCGGCTCGTACGACACTGCTGCTGTCGTCAGCGACCCGCGGCGAAGCACGGCGTACCCGCACGACCCGTGACCTCTGCCAGACGACCCTCTGCTGCTGTCGGCAGCGACCCGCGGCGACCCGCAGCAGAATTTCTCGCGGGCCCGAACGGGTTTTGCCGGCATTTTACGAACCCTGATGAAAACTATAAAAAACTGGCGGTTCATCATTATTTTTTATCGATATTTGCCAATACCCCCACTAGTTTAAGGCAAATTATCATCTCAATACCAATAGTGCGCGCCAATAGTTAAATTTTAAATTGTAAAATGACAAAAGAATACACCTAATTCTGTTTTTACACGGTTCTGATTTAACACGGTGTGAAAATTAAAATTGTTTATAGTGTTACACGGAAAATTCCAAAATATAGATTTTCTGCGTATTCACATAAGGCACCTGGGACTAAAATTTGGTGTCCGTAGGTCTTATAGTCTCCGAGATATAGGCGACAAAGGAAGGAATTGGGGGGGGGGGGGGGGGAATAAAAAAAAAATAAAACAAACTCGTATAGCGTACACACATAAGGCATCTTTGTGCAAAATTTGGTGTCTCTAGCACTTATAGTCTCTGAGATCCAGATGTTCATACGCACGGACAGATGGACAGACAGACAGGGCTAGATCGACTCGCCTTGTAACTCTGATCAAGAATATATATACTTTGTAAGGTCTGCCACGCCTCCTTCTGCCTGTTACATTCTTCAGCTCCCGCAAACCTAATATACTCTTGTACATTTCATGTACAGAGTATAAAAACACACACAGCTGACGAACAGCTAAAAACCATTCTTATGTGGGTCGTTATGCACATTATATGTGTTTTAATAAAATAAACATATATTCTTGTTTTTTCACTGATTTTAATAAGTTTTGTCATTTTTGCATATGAACAATGACTTTTTTTACACGGTTTTGTTCTGGAACAAATCTACGTGTAAAAACAGAATTATGTACTACCAAGCTGCCGAGATGCTTGGCTAAAAAGCGAAGAATTCAAGGCTTTGCTTTGCAAAGATGACTCGGACGGGCATAGGGTTTACTGCATCTATTGCAAGATAACTATCACAGAAAAGCTTAGTGATTTGCGCACTCATGCAACTGCCTAATATTTATTTACGCATGATTGGTACGACCATGTCGAACAAATGCAAACCTCGCAGAACTGAATTATTTAATGTAAATATCACCTTACAACAAATAAATTGGTAAAACCATAACCGCTCTTTTTTAGTTTTTTTTCTATACATTTTCAGCTTTTTTTTGCCCTTTCTTCCAGTTAGAAACAGCTTTTTTTTAATTAAAAAAATGGCAGCACTGGTGACAATCAATGATGGTTTGTGAACGAGCCCTCAACGAACACTCAGTTCGAATCAAAACTGCAAAAACAGAAATGGGCGGTTGTGACCGAAACTTCTTGCATGAATGCGAGCAATGGCCGGTTGTGAACGAACGCATACCAACCAGTCAGTTCGACTCACAACTGCAAAGACTCAGAATGAGCGACGGTGACCGAAACTTTTTGCCTGCGTGCAAGCAATGATCGAACGTCGTATTTACAATCATGCCCGCATGTCCGAAATGTTCGGTAGAGTTTGGGTAATTCTCGAATCATGGCAACCGAGCAATGATATCGACGCGTGCACGTGCACTTGCATTTTCTAATGTTTTTTCGGCTATTGGTTCAATAGCAACTTCATATACAAGTATGTATAGGCATATAAATTAAAGAATCCAAAAAACTATTAGCGAAAAGAAATACCTTCCTTTTTATTTAAATTAAAAATAGTTATGCTATTTTAATTTATATTAATTTGTTTATTTTAAGATATTTGAGTTCATTTTTTAAGAAATAAAATCATGCTAAATATCATAATATAAAAATAAATATATGTATACATATGTTTTGTTTGCACGCACAAATACATAAATATGTACATACATGCATTTTTTATACGGTCATACTCGGGTAAAACCTGCGCAATACTCGAGTAATACCCGAGTATAGCTCGCGCAATACCCAAACAATACTCGAGCAATAACGGCACTATATTCGTTCAATCAAACGCTCATTCTGCAAAGTCTGGTTTGTTTCGATCAGGACCCAGTCATCTTAAACGAAGTGACCGAGCCTGAACTGTTTGAAAGCAAACCAATCAAGGCCGGTACTCGCTGGAACCGACCGCAATAAGCAAAGTGACCGAGCCTGGTGTGCTCGAAAGCAAACCAATCAAGGCCGGTATTCGTTGGAACCGACCGCAATAAGCAAAGTGATCGAGCCTGGTCTGCTCGAAAGCAAACCAATCAAGTCCGGTGCTTGTTCGTAAACATAGAACGATTCACTTCAAACTTAACTTGTATATTCTCATAGAGAATACAAGAAAAACTGTATATTTTTTTTTCCTGGAAATCAATCAACGCACAGCCCAAATGGTAAGAGCTAGAAAGCTCAAATTTGGCCAAAAGTTGTCTTTTATGGTATAGGTGAGCACTAAGAAAATTCGAACGCCAAAGGGGGGAAAACGGGATCCAAAGATTGTATGAATCTACAATTTTCATTTAATTGGCTTCAAACTGGGTTTGTGTAATCTATAAAAGAATTAAAAAAACACTGCATACTTGGTTTTTCACCATTTTTCCTGGGGCATGAAAAAGGGGAGTTTTCCCGGGGAAAAATTGAAATACAATCAACACCCCACAGCCCAAACGCTAAGAGCTAGGAAGCTGAAATTTCAGCTCAAGTATCCCATCAAAGTGTAGGTGAGCACTAAGAAGCGATTTTTGTAAATTCGAGCTCCAAATTTTTTTTGAAAAATCCGCATTTTTCTAACAATCAACTTCAAATTTGGATTTTCAAATCTATAAAAGAATGCAAAAAAAACTGCATACTCGATTTTTTGAAATTTTTTGAACTCGGAATATGAAACACGACTCTTGTGTCAATCGTGCAGCCATGAGCCACGATAAAAAATCACTGACAATGCCCATCTCAATTTGTTAGAGTAAAACTTTCGATAGCTCAATCCACCGATACTATCGATATCGATACATCGAAGTTTGAATGCAATAAACAGAATATCTAAATAATAACATATTATAATTTATTGAGATCAATTAGAACAAATCATATACATATGATTTTTGTATGTACACACATACATACATGCCCGCAATGCAAAGCAGAATATGCGTAGATCCGTTATTTGTTTTCTGCTTTACTATCGGTTACTCAGTCGTTGCCTAGCGACGGTAACTGTAAATTTTTGGCATTTTGAATGTGCAATAAAAAGGCGAAGATGATCAAAAAATGTGAACGAAAGAATACGAGCGTGCCAATGTACATACATGTACATTGTACATACATGTGTACATATGAATCCATGGGTTTTGTTTTGTTTCTCTTTACTGTTTGAACCGTACGTAGAGAACCGTGTATGTATAGTCCGCCAATGGGGGTCCAAAAAATTATAATTTTGATTAAATAATGCACGAAGCGTTTAAATAATAAATAAATAATGCCAAATTTACTAAGCAAAAAACAATTACTTTTGAAAATGTTAAATCGTTTTTAATTAATTAATATTTCTTAACATGTGTACATTCGTTCACACATTTTGCTTTGGCTATTTCAATCGTTTGCGCGCAACTACACGAACAGCTGCTTGTATGTGTGTGTGTATGTGTTTAGTATACATACATTGTCCCCAACAATGAGATATCCATTTTATGTTGTTTGTTCTGCCTGCATTTGTAAAGCTACAACAGTATTTCTAAATTTTTAAAACCCTTGAATACAAAGTTGTAGATTTAGTTACTTAGATTACATTACCCAAATTTGAAATCGATCGGACAAAATTTATAACACTAAATTATCATTTGAAAAAGTGAATAAATATTAAAGCCCCACTAATTCAAGCTCCAAGACCAATTTCAAAAAATCGAGTATGCAGTTCTTTTTTGCATTCTTTTATAGATTTTAAAATCCCAATTTTAAGTTGATTCTAACAAAATACGGATTTTTAAAACAAATTTTGGAGCTTATTTTCCCCACTTGGAGCTCGAATTTACAAAAATCCCCTCTTAGCGCTCATCTACACGATGGGATACTTGAGCTGAAATATCAGTTTCCTAGCTGTTTAGAGGAGATATCGAATATATCACCTAATCAGTTACATATGATAAAAAACACGGGACGAATTCAATTAAACTTAACTTTATTGTAGCGTGTCTAGAATTGGAGTGTTTGAACAAGAACCTGGCTGCAGTCAATGTGCGTCTGCAGCGTTAGAAAAAAGGTCGTCTGCATATAAAAGCTCTGTCTGCAAGTGAGAGCCAGAGCGGATTGATCTTTAACAGAGACAGCTAAGCAAGATGAAGATAACATAATTTTCTAACAAGAACTAAACAAACAAAAGCCAACAGGCATTTACATTTACTTTACATTAAATCAATTGTTCTGCTCCGAACACTAGCTCTTACCGTTTGGGCTGTGGGGTGTTGATTGTATTTCAATTTTTCTACGGGTTAACCCCCCTTTTTCATGCCCCAGGAAAAATGGTGAAAAACCAAGCATGCAGTGTTTTTTAAATTCTTTTATAGATTACACAAACCCAGTTTGAAGCCAATTAAATGAAAATTGCAGATTCATACAATCTTTGGATCCCGTTTTCCCCCCTTTGGCGTTTGAATTTTCTTAGTGCTCACCTATACCATAAAAGACAACTTTTGGCCAAATTTGAGCTTCCTACCTCTTACCGTTTGGGCTGTCAACGCACACCGGAAAATCCCTATAATTCTGGCCCCAGGAAAAATAAAAAACAAGTATACAGTTTTTCTTGTATTCTCTATGAGAGTATACAAACTAAGTTTGAAGTGAATCGGAAAAATTGTAGATTTTTCATACAAACGTTGGAGCCCGTTTTCCACCATTTGGAGCTCGAACTTTCCGAAAATCCCTCCTTAGTGCTCACTCTCACTGTGAGAGAGATCTTGTATCCAAATTTCAGCTTCCTAGCTCTTGCCGTTTGGGCTGTGCGTTGATTGCCAATCAGTCAGTCAGGACAAACTGTTTTATATATATAGATTAGCACTTTAACTTGATTACTCTTTTATTTATTTTAAATGATATAATTATTCATATTATCTGGGTGCGCTCCCGATGCAGAAATTTATCGCTTCAGCTCTAGAACAGAGGGATTTGTGATTTAAGCAAACTGATGGATATAGCGATTTCGATTCTTTTTATCTGATCTGCTGACCTATCATTCTTCCTTATAAGTGTTACATACCAAAAAGAAAATACATATGAGCATTTCCATGATGTCGCACGGTCAGTCGTACACATTTAAAGTGAAAAAAGTCGAATGGAAATGAACTTTTTTTTGTTAATGGGGTTAACTTATACCTCTTAAGTAGCCCTATAATTGGTGCTAAGGTTGATTTTGGGCAACTATTCGTTTTCAAGATAATTGCAAAAAACCACAGTATTCGCACGGGACTAATTCAGAAGTATTTTTCGCAGCCACCAGTTTAAACCAAGATTTCAGCGAAACCTGAGGCAATTTGTCAGTGTGACCAGTTTTAAAAGGTTGTGCATTGATGTCTCTTAAAAATAGTTTTGATTTTACCCAAAAATTATTTGTAAATTTTTTGCAATTAAATTTGAGGCGGATTCGCACGGGACATGTCTTTTTTACAAAAATATATATGAAAAAAGCTAAGTAAAACGCAACACTTTGCTCTTTTGTCTATGATTCTGTACATTTTAATAATTTAAAATTTTGTATATATGCAGAAAAAAACAAGTAAAAAAGCTAAAGTCGGGTGTCCCGACTTTGAAATACTCTGTACATATGTTTACAAAAATTATAGAAAATAAAAAAAATTAATAAATTAAAAAAAAAAATTTTGATTTATTTTACCTTTCTCGGTATTCAAACTCACGTAAAGGGTGTATAATTGCACATTTACATAGCAATTGCGTCTGTGTGAGTGTATGTATGCCTATGCGCATCTATTCGTGTCTGTGTAAACATGTTAGAGTCAACCAAACAGCAACATCAACAACAGCCGCGGGCAGCGATTGGGCAGCGCTTCAGCAGCAAATATATTTATGGCTATAACTTCCTGTTAAATCGGTCTATAATAGTGAAACTATGGCATACGGACACATAAGCACTAACTGGGGGTATTTGCAAAATTTTAGTTCGAAATTCGAAGAATTACGGGAGTTACGATTTGTGGGGGAGAGGGGGGAGGGAGCGAAATTCCAAAATATAAATTTTCTGCGTATTCACATAAGGCATCTTGGACTAAAATTTTGTGTCCCCAGGTCTTATAGTCTCCGAGATATAGGCGATTATACGAATGGCAAATCGGGAAAACCCCGATAGGGAGGAAGTGGGGGGGAGGGAATCAAAAAAATAAAACAAACTCGTATAGCGTACTCACATAAGGCATCTTTTTGATGTCTCTATCTCTTATAGCCTCTGAGATCCAGGTGTTCATACGGACGGACAGACAGACAGACAGGGCTAGATCGACTCGTCTCGTCATGCTGATCAAAAACATATATACTTTGTGGGGTCTGCCACGCCTCCTTCTGCCTGTTACATTTTTCACTTCCCGCAAACCTAATATACTCTTGTACATTTCATAAACATTAAAAAACATTAAACATTAAAAAAATAAATTTAAATAAATTTCACACTTACTATGCCGCACGGGACAAACTTACTATATTTGCCTCACGATCGCAAATCTTCTTATTTTTTATCATTTTTTTTTTTTAATTAATTGTATTGATAATTATTATTTGATGACAAATGATGTTTTTTAATGTCGCAAGGGACATCAAAATATTTGACAATGTAAAGTCAATATTTACAGTTATCTGTATTGCGTGGTCTCTTATGCATTCTTTTTTGACTCTGTGATTCCAGGAACATTTTAACTAGCAAAAGTCAATGAAAAATATTTCTCTCTAAACAAAAGTGTAATATAAATATCTTAACGAGAAAATTTGCGCCTTCGGGCCTTTGCATTCGAATATCTCGAAACGGGCTATTCAAAATTTGAATTATTATTTAAATTAGTTAAATTCGATTGTTTCTCTATAAGAATATGATAAAACAAGTAGAGAATCTAAAGCCGGGTATCCCGACTTTGAAATACTCTGTACATATGTGTAGAATAGTTATGCGTGTATTTGTGTGTGTCTGTGTATGTCTCGTGTGCCTGAGCAAAGCAGTAACAACAACAACAGCTGCGGGCACTGCTTGGCCTTATGTATATATATGGCTATAACTTCCTGTTAAATCGGCCTATCATGATGAAACTTGGCATTTGGACTTAGATTAAATAACTAAATGGGGGTATTTGCCCAGTTTGAGTTCGAAATTCCAAGAATTACGGGAGTTACGATTTGCGTGGGAAAGGGGGGAGGGAGGGAAATTCCAAAATACACATTTTCTGCGTAAGGCATCAACAAAATAAAACAAACTTGCACGGCGTACACACATAAGCCATCTTTGTGCAAAATTAGGTGTCTCTAGCTCTTATACTTGTAGTCTCTGAGATCTAGGTGTTCATAAGGACAGAAGGACGGACAGACAGACAGACAGGGCTAGATCGACTCATTTTGTCATGCTGATCAAGGATACTTTGTGGGGTCTGTCACTCATCCTTCTGCCTGTTACATTTTTCAGATCGCGCAAACCTAATATACTCCTGTACATTTCATGTACAGAGTATAAAAAAGTTAATTCAATAACTTTTAATTTTTGGGTCTCGGTGGACCTTGCGGTGGAAATGCCCATATGTTTTACTTCCCATTGCAAAATAAAATAAATAAATACATATAGGAATGTCTGTTACTTACACAATTAATTTTTGATTTCCTGATAACGGAGATCTGGTCCATTTAAGCAATTCCAAAAGATGAAATAATATTAAACGAAAATGCATTCGGATGTGCGTGTGGCTACTAGTTAAGAAAAAAAGACTCAATTCATACAATTTCCAAGTGAAGAACTCTTAACTTACATTTTCATAAAAATTTCTAATAACTCCAGAACTTTAATACACATGTGTGGCAAAACAGCTTCCAAAAATAAGTTTTCAGTGTTTAGATTGGCTTTAAGAGTGATGCTCGTGAGTCCCAGGCCACGTTCGACTATGCTAAGAATTTTTCTTGGATATATTTGTTTTTTTGATGAAAAAGGTTCACTGTAAAAAACAGAATATTAAAAATTGAATGATATAGTCTGATACCGATATCTAACTTACCTCAATGAAATCTTAAGAAACTCTGTTAGATTACTAAAGCGGCGGCACATCTGAGTAGTACCCCGAATAGGATCTGCCTCCACTTTCAACGCAAAATAATCGAAATATTCGTTTGTAGTTTGACCTTTGTAGAAATCGCTATATTTTGGAAACGCTTGGTCTAAAAGGTTATGGAGACTGTCCAGCAGGCCAAAATGATATTGCTGCCAAAGTATTTTTCCAGTTCTACCTCCGCGCTGATGATGAAGCAAAGCCCAGCACAACCCACTTTCATAAATAACATTGATATCATTGTTGTCCAACAATGATTTAAGGAAGCACGCGACGAGAGTTCTGTGTGTTTTACTGGTGGCTGGGTATTGCTTTAAGCATTGTTTTAATGCTTTCAGAGCAGGGACAATGCTTCGATTGTTTCCATTTTTTTCTATAAGACTAAAGCTCTGAAGTAGCTTTAAGATATGAACACTGGCAAAGGTTTTCGACCGCTCTGGAACTACCTGCATTTGATTTACGAGTAGTGCTAAAAAGAGTTTTAAATGAAGTAGTTACATTCTTATATAAGTATTGGCATTGGGCAAATGTACTACTATGGGCTTAGTAAATAGCAGATGAGTAATATCTCCACCTCCTACCACTAAATAAACCATCTACATGTTCCTTGTCTTGCCGTGCTGATTTGCGGCGTTGAAGCATGGACGTTAACGACATCAGAATCATTGGCCCACTAATAGATTTATGGCGATTTTCGAATACGAATGATCCATGATCCAGCAGAAGTAAAAATAAGAAGAGCAGTATGGGCCTAGAATGGTGATACTTCATTGACTAATAATGAAATTTGTACAGACAGGGAAAAGCTAAAGTGTAGTATGCACACATACTGAGTACACACTGTACGCAGTGTATTGATGAAAACCAAGCATAATACATACGCGACGTAACATGATCGCACTTATGCGCCCTAAGCGGCATAAGTGCAGCGTCGGCGTCTTTATCATAATCACTTCATGTGTGCATGTTATTCTCTCTCGCGCTCTCGCTGCCAACAGCGCTGAGTATATAGGCTAATATATAATGCGGCCGCTCCGCTGCCGGCGTCACCGACAGCGCAGCTACGCGGCCCTAGCTAAGCTGACTTTAAGCAAAAATGTAACGTATCAGTATGAATAAAGACAATACAGAAGAGACGTCGGGTTTTGAAAAAACATTCTTTACATGGCGACCGTGACAGGACGGTGCTGCTTGTCTGCTCAATAGCAACAAATACTTTCCCAGCAGAGTCTCCATCAAGGATTCATCAGTGACTAAACTAGGCTCTGTATGTCAGCGCCTCAAAAAGGATGTTGACTACAAGCCCGGCAAATATCCACAGATCAGCAAGTTTACGGAGCCAAAGTAGGCCCGCAATTGGCTTGGAAGTTGGTTGCAACTATTAGTGCTTGATTTTTTGTTTCGAGCCAGCGCTTTGATATTGATGCTGATGATAACAACACTAATTATATGACGGCGGTGATGCTGATGATGATCAAATTCGGCACCTAGATAAAATTATATAAACTTGGCGCGTTTGTGGTGCATGCAATATACTACAACAACTGCAACAGCATAACTCTCTTACACAAACACGGAAATAGCCTGTGCGATGACCAGCGCCGGCAACGCTTAACGCGCCCAGTTAAGCCTCCATGAGCGACGACTCCGTAGATTCTGCTCCTATTGAGCAAAGGGAAGCACCTTCCATCCAGGAGTACCTGGATCCAAACGTTGGACCACGCCCACTCACAATAGCTGAGTACCGGGCACGTCAGGAAAAAAATCTACAGCCAAACCAAAGACGAAACGTGGAGGACAAGTAAGGAAGCTACTCCAGCAAAAACGCTTGCAACAGGATTTGCTTGCGGCAGCTACGATACAAGAAGACCGACAGCGCTACATAGAGCGCATCAATGAATTGAAGGCCGAATTAAAACTTCGCAACCGGGCGAAGCCACGCAAGGGGGCCGCAAATATGCGTAAGCCTTAACTTGCCATAGATTTAAGCCTACATGCGAATTGATGCACGTCAGTGCAATTTGCAAACACTAAAACCTGTTAGGCTTTTATTACTAACATGTAGGAGAATTTTTTTTTTTTTTTATGAATTGTAACATTGAATTGTGAGCCTACCACACAAAGTAAATAACTAACTTTTTCCACGTCTCTGCCGCTAAGTATTTATACTCAGCTGCGATTAGAATTTTTGTGAAAATTGATAAACCTTTTAATGAACTCAAATTTTGTTTTCGATTTCCTAAAAGGAAATATATTTTCTTTAATTTTCTTTATAAATCCCATATAAAATTAACCAATATTATGAAAATAATTGATTAATGAAAATAAAATTAATTTGTCTTTCATGAACGTTTTTTAGAAAAAAAAAGGAAATTTTTTTTTTGAATAGACAGAAATAGAATTAGAAAACATAATGGGATGGTTTAGTGATTCTAGTGAGTCAAAAGGCAATACTGCCAACGTTGTAAACAACGTGAAGATAATTGATCACACAGACGATATAAAATCGTTGTGGATCCTATTGTTAATTATCACGATAGTCTCAGTTTTACAATTTCTGCTTACAATCTATGTTAAGCATAATAAAATTATTAAGAAAAGATACATGAGTAGGGCAAATGACTTAGATAAGATCTAAAAATGAATAAGGAGAAAATAGGTCACGTTTACGAAAGCTTTCAAAATTTTCGCATTTGGGTAAAATTAACAGGAAAAGAAGACCCATATTTAGGTATAGCAACTACATGGTTAGTACGCTTGCCAAAAGTAAGAAAATTCCAGTAAAAGAATGGAATGGAACGAAATTGCGAAAAATATAGACGCATTTCGTTACAAATTTGATAAATCTTACAAATGCATCAATAAAGATGCAGTTATAAAGGCGGAAACATTAAAAAACCATGTAGAAATATTAGTAAGGGAATACAATAATATAGTTACCTTAGTGAATAGTTATGAAAATAAATAATACTTTTCATGCCTTGACTTAATGTCAGGTTTCCACCAAATTGAACTTGAAGAAAGTTCAAGAAATATAACATCTTTTTCAACGAGCAATGGCTCATATCGCGATTACCATTTGGTCTTAAAATAGCACCAAATTCGTTTCAGAGAATGATGACTATAGCATTCTCGGGTTTAGAACCCTCTCAGGCATTCCTTTATATGGATGACTTAATGGTGATAGGATGTTCCGAAAAACACATGATGAAGAACTTAACTGATGTTTTTAATGTGTGTAGCCTAAAGTTGCATCCAGAAAAATGTTCATTTTTTATGCATGAAGTGACATTCTTAGGTCACAAATGCACTGACAAAGGAGTATTGCCAGATGACAAGAAATTTGACGTCATCAAAAACTATCCTGTCCCTATTGATGCAGACAGAGCGAGACGATTTGTAGCATTCTGCAATTATTATCGTTGATTTATAAAAAACTTCGCCGATTATTCATGGCACATAACTAGATTATGTAAAAAGAATTCCTACTACCTTTTGAATGGTCAAGTGAATGCCAAAACGCATTCCAATACCTTAAAGAAAAGCTTATGCAACCCACATTATTACAATATCCTGATTTTCGCAAAGAATTTTGCATAATAACAGATGCTAGTAAACAAGCTTGCGGAGCGGTTCTAACTCAGAACCATAACGGAATTCAACTCCCAATAGCTTATGCATCTCGTTCATTTACAAAAGGGGAAAGCAATAAGAGTACAACAGAACAGGAGTTAGCGGCAATTCATTGGGCAATTATCCATTTTAGGCCATATATTTATGGAAAACACTTTACTATTAAAACGGATCACAGACCATTGACATATCTTTTCTCTATGACTAATCCCAGTTCGAAATTAACTCGCATGCGGCTAGAGCTTGAAGAATACGACTTCACAGTAGAATACCTAAAGGGAAAAGATAATTTTGTAGCAGACGCACTTTCGCGTATTAATATAAAAGAACTCAAAGATATGCAACATAAAGTCCTGAAAGTCACTACCAGGCGACAAAGTAGACAGAATAAAAACTGTACAGTAGAAAATTATGAACTTCTGCCAAGGCAAAGTCATAAAAATGTATCTAAGCCCAACGTACATGAAGTCATTACAAATGATGAAGTACGAAAAGTAGTGACCTTGCGAATGACACAATCCAACTGTTTACTTAAGCATGGAAATAAAGTTATCGCAGGAATTGAAGTTAGCGATTTATATACTAATGGAATCCTCGACTTAGGTCAGTTATTCCAAAGGCTTGAAACAGAAGCCGGTATATTAAAAATCTGCCAACTTAAAGTGGCACCGAGCGAAAAGATCTTTGAATCAGTTTCAATAGATTCTTTTAAAAATATGGGCAATAAAATATTAAAATCTTTAAGAGTAGCGCTACACCAGCCGGTGACCCAAATAAAAAATGAAAAAGAGATACAACAAATACTGTCTACATACCATGACGACCCAATTCAAGGAGGTCATAGTGGCATAACAAGAACGCTAGCGAAAATAAAAAGACACTACTACTGGAAAAACATGACACGTCATATAAAAGAGTACGTACGTAGATGTCAAAAATGCCAAACGTCTAAAACAAGGACACACACAAAAACTCCTTTGACTCTCACAGAAACACCTGTGAATGCTTTCGATATAGTGATAGTGGATACAGTTGGTCCGCTACCTAAATCGGAAAAGGGCAATGAATACATAGTCACATTAATATGTGACCTTACAAAATATTTAGTAGCCATTCCGATAAAAAGAAAAAGCGCAAATAATGTCGCAAAAGCCATATTCGAAAATTGTATACTCAAGTTTGGTCCAATGAAGACGTTCATTTCGGACATGGGAACAGAGTATAAAAACCAGATTTTAACTGATTTATGCAAGTATATGAAGATCAAGAATCTCACCTCTACTGCATATCATCATCAAACATTAGGGACAATAGAACGAAGTCATCGAACATTTAATGAATACATTCGTTCATATATCTCTGCAGACAAAACTGATTGGGATGTCTGGATTCAATATTTCACTTATTGCTTCAACACGACACCATCGGCAACGCATGAGTATTGTCCATACGAACTAGTATTTGGCAGACTACCAAAACAGTTCATAGACTTAAACAAAACTAATTACGTAGATCCTATTTACAATTTAGATGACTATTCTAAGGAAATAAAGTTTAGATTAGAAATAGCATACAAAAGAGCTAGAATTATGTTAGAAAAAGCCAAGACTTATAGGAAATTAGTATACGACAAAAATACTAAGAATTTTGATTTAAAGGTAGGAGATAAAGCACTTATAAAGAACGAAACAGGGCACAAATTAGACCCAGTATATTTAGGACCATATATAGAAGAGAAAAAAAAAAACCAACAGGTCTGATCAACCTAATAATAATAATAAAAAAAAAATTAATTTTTTTAAAATAAGTTTTGCAAATGGGAATAAAATAAAGAAA